ATTTATGTATTATTATATTTAATATTTTAAATGGTTATTTTTATTATTTAGTATTAACCACACCCACGACTTTTACCCGCACCCACACCCACACCCACGACCCACGACTTGTACCCATGACCCACGACCCACGACCCACGACCCACGACCCACGACCCACGACCCACGACCCACGACCCACGACCATTAGTCAAACTCGATGGAGCGCGGTTCTTTCCTAAAATCTATAAGTCTGGGCCGGGTTGTTCAAAGCTGGGTTAAGGTAACCCAAGGTTAGTGTGAGATTTCATTTAATATCTGAAACCTTTAAAAGAAAATTCAGGTTAAATCCTTGCGTCTACAGTTTGATGACTGGATGTTCTGAACAGAATCGAGAAAATTTTCTCAGAAAGGCTTTTGAACAGAGAAGTAAAGAAACCTCCAGGATTAAAATTTAACCCTGGGCCATAGCGCTAATCGCCCTTCGAAAAAACAGGCAAAAGCTACGTTTGGATTTACCTATGTTGGGAGTTGTGCTTCCAAAACGAGGCAAGATCAGATATGGCAACATTATTATACTATATAACTGCTCTATAGTACGGATAGTAAACGTTTCCATGCTACCTTATTACATGAAATTTTCGCGACACGTTAATTTCGCGAATTTCGCGATTTAAAAAAAATCGCGAAATTAAGTGACGCGAAAATTAAATGTCGCAAAAATTAAGTGACTCACATTATGTCAATAATTAAAACAACGACTTTATAACCATTACACACGTTTATAACAATCATTTTGAGCTATTCTGTGGTAATGTTCTGGTCCTGTTCATCACTACCGCTTTCCGTCTCCACTCTAGGTAGCACTGCTTTTGTACAATCCCCAAACTGTCCATTCACTGGCTCCTTGTAGTGCTGTTCCACTAGTTGCTTAAACCATTTAATGGCTTCAACGCTTTTCGTACATGCCTTCATTCTTACTGTCGCCTCTACAGGAATCTCCAACCCTCCTTGTATGAGTGGCGATCGTCGAAAGTGTGCGTCCTTTGCTGTCACGGAGACATCTGCGCCTCTTGAAATAAGAAATCTTGTAGAACGGCTGATCTCACGTGGTCAATGACCAAGTGTAACATTCGATAGTCGTCCGGGAGCCAATTTTGTGGCGGCTATTGCGTATCTATCATGTTGGTTGTTTCTTTCATGAATGCAGGAAAGAACGTCTCCAACCTTAGGTTTCCAAATCTCTTTATACACGTGAAAGTCTCTCTGGCCGCAGGGAAAGGAATATTGGACAATACCAGAAACTGAAGCTATCATCAAAACCCGAGCATTGAAATTAGCAGGGTTCGAACTTTTAAAAATATCTGAGGTATTTCCGGTATTTTGACAGCTGACGATCACATACTTGGACACCACGTCAATACACGTATTTTCTGTGGAAATTACATGAGACTGTTCGTCTACTACCTTACATGTCTTTGTTTCAGTTCGGCTTCTACCCACAACAGTTACGACAGCCCAACCACTTTACACGATGATCGGAAGAGAGAAAGAGCGAACACGAGCACCAAAGTACTGTGGGTAACGCAGAGAGCAAAATGGCAGATTTTTGTGGATAACACTTAGAAGTTTACGAACAAAGAGCCCAAGAAAAAGTCAGATGATCTTCCATGTTTAAAATCCCACACCATAAAATCTTAAAAACCTGAAGGTAAAAATTCATTTTGCAAGCAATCTACAATCAGAAGAATGGAAGGACCGTAAAATCTTAAAAACTTGAAGGTAAAAATTCATTTTGCAAGCAATCTACAATCTGAAGAATGGAAGGACATCGATATGGTATTGTGAAATTTGGTTTTGTACTGATGATAAATACTGTAAAAATTCAACTCGATTTCTTAAGAATAGCTCAAAACGGCTATTTTTCGGTAAAGGAAGACGAAATTTTATGTTAACACTAGCTAAAGAGCAGAAAATTACTTTCTAGCAGATTCAAAAGGGTAATACATATTAACGAACTAGCTTTAACGGAACGATCAAAAGTTGCCTTATTTCGCTGTTAAGGACAAACTAGAAAAACTTTCGTCGTAAAATATACTAATTTAACAACCTTTGGTTGCCGTGGTATACTTTCTTTTCGATTCTACTGAGAGCCATCTCAACATTTTTCCAAAGGCATCTCAGTTAATTGTCTTATTGCCGTTGTATATTGTAATGTGAATGAATAATTTTTGGATTGGCTGTACTTAGAATGTTTATATGACGGCTTGTATCATGTTTGGACCATAAGTGACCTGAAACGCGTGATAAATTTCCAAGTAATTTAAAAATACATATCGAAATTAATTTAATTTCTACCTCAGTGATATGAGTTAACCAAACGTTCCTGATATTGCATGATGAAGGTGAAAGGGTGAAGGGGAAACTCCTTGATAGGTAACGGATTTCCGTGTTTCATTCTTAGCATGGCTAACCGAGACAAA